TTTTGTTGTGGAGCTGTTGAATCCCATGACAGCCTTGTTGTTGTTATTAAATCCAGTGTTCGTAAGGAACCCATCAACAGAAACATCTGAGTCCAACTTCTTTGGTCCATTCCTGAAGTATCCAGAATCAGAATTATCTGAATCATAGAGAATAATACCACCATTGTCCTCACCAGATCTGCTATCCACTCCTCCAAGTTTGTTTTTCTTACAGAACTCCTCAGCATTCTTCACATTGAAGACTTTGAGCTGCTCTCCTGAAGATGACTTAGTCTCAAGAATCACAGAGTTGTTGTCTGATGACTCGGCATGAGAGTTCACCACCAAGTTATGTCCTTTCTTGAAGCTGGAATCCCTAGACAACATCATCAGAGACAATGCCATTTCCTCCTGTTCCGGCTCGATCTCAGAAGCATCCGAAGATGCTGAATTGGATTGATTCATGATGCCACCAACTATGAAAGGAGCTCTGTGGTGGTGTTTGACAACAACTCTCTTGGATCTTCTCCTAATAGGAGAGGAAGAAGCCTCAGTATCAGATTGACTATCCATGACAATCTTGTCTCTCTCAGAGTGAGAAGCCATGTGACCACAAAGAGCTTTAGAAGAAACAAACCCTTTACCACATTCTCTGCAACAAAGAAGCTGTTGTTGTTGATGGTGATGCTGTTTCAGAGCCATCATCTCTCTCTGATCCACGAACCTCTTGTTCTTTTTAGGATTCTCTCGCAGACCGTAACTAGATTGACCGCCATTTTCATCGATTCTGAGCTTATCGTGTTCATCATCATCTGAATCAAGTGAATTGTTGTCGTTCATGTGAGTTCTGATGTGACCTCCAAGTGATTTCCCACAAGGGAACCTCTTGCTACAGAACTTGCACACAAACTTCCTCTCTTTGCTGCACTGCTCCATCTTCTTTTATCCTTAGGACAAATCATCGAACAAGACATGAGCATAATAAGCAGAACAAGGAAAGCACAAGGAGAATTAGTGTCTGATTTACCTCAAATCAATCTTCGAGTGAATTCCTCAGATGCTAAGAAT